TAAAAAAAAAAAAAAAAGTGTATGACATGAGACATGGAAAGCATTGCACAATGTGCCTGACAGAGTTAGCATTTAATAAACCTATCCTATTAAAAACTTTTTTAAATATTTCTATATTAACTCACTACTATTTTCTTAGTCTGTCCCTGCTGCTATAATAAAATATCCTAGAAATAACGGTGTATAAGTAGGAATTCATTGTTCGCAGTCTTGGATTATGAAGTCCAAGATTAGCTGGCCTCTGGTCAGGGCTGTTCCTTACGGGTGGCACCTTCTAGCTGTGCCCTCCCGTGGCGAAAGGGGCAGACGCTGTAGTATCACACGGAGTGATGGCCCTCCGGCCCTTCTGTCAGGGTGCTGGGCGCAGGCACAGGCTCTCTCCCACAGCCCGCTCACCTCCAGAAAGCCCCGCTTCTTACTACCAACACACTTAAGGTTAGACTGCAGCGTGAACTGCGGAGACGAAACAGTCAAGCGCAGGCAGGGCAGGGCTCGCGTTTCCCTCCACGTGTACTGCTGGTCCCCAAGTCCCACCAGTGTTAGGTGTTCAGTAAGGAGGACATCCGCCCTCCTCTGCCAGCCCGGAAGCCTGTCTGAACTTGTCACGCATTCATGGTGCTTTGTCACAATTCTCTCACTAACAATTCACTGAAATTTTGATGCTTAAATGAGTAAGTATACATAAATGCAAATTATTATGTAAAAACTGAAACATTTATCATGTGGTAACATATGTTATATCTACTTAGATCAATTTTTATTATTGAAAACCTATTTCAAAACCAAGGAACTATTTATAATTAATTAAAACTAGCAAAACTCAAATAACCAAAAGGAAAAACATACCAACCTGGCCTTTTGCTAACAGATCTCCACAGAAGACAGAAAAATAGGGGCTGGGGTTTTGGCTCAGTGGTAGAATGCTTGCCTAGCAAGCTGGAAGTCCTGGGTTCGGTCCTCAGCACCAAAAACAAAAAATAAACCTCCTCTAAAAAACAACTTAAGGGGCCAGGGAGATGGCTCAGTAGAATAAGCGCTTGCCTGGCAAGCACAAGGGCCTGAGTTCAATCCCCGGTTCCACCAACCCCCACCCCCCCAAACAAACAAACAAACAAACAAAAAACCTCAACCAAAAAAATACAGTAAAATCAAAAAAGACCAAAAACAAACAAGGCAACTGAAAACAGAAAAATATACTCCCAACCCTGGAAGGCATTCACATTGCTTTTTTGTTTTGTATTTTAGGGAAGGGTCTACAGGGTGTTCAGGGTCTCACTACTAGATCAGACTCCTAGTGATCCACCTGTTTACAGCCTCCCAAGAGCTGGGATTACAGACGCGCACCACCACGCCCAGTCTCAATCGCCCCCTCAGTACACCCCGGGGGCGGAGCTATTTGGCTGGCTTGGCATCCACATTCCAATCCCCAGAGCCTGTGGACACTGTACCTCACATGGCAAAAGGGACTTTGCCTATATGCTGTGTGAAGGACCTGTGATGAGGACCTTATCCTCATGTCTAAATGTCATCACCAGGGTCCTTAAGAATGAAACAGCAGAGAGGCACAAATTAGAGCATGGTATCACTTGAGAATATGCTGCACTCCTGGCTTGTATGTATTTATTTATTTATTTATTTATTTTGTGGAGCCGGGGATAGAACTCAGGCCCTTGCGCTTGCCAGGGAAGTGCTTATTCCACTGAGCCATCTCCCCGGCCCCACTCCCAGCTTTGATGACTGTAAAAAGCTTCCACATGAAAGAACACATACCGCCTACCTAAGCTGTAAGGGGCCAAGAAACAGATTCTCCGCAACCTCCAGATATGACTGCAGCCCTTAACCCGTTGATTAGGCCAATCTCACCTCTGTAGACTACTGAAGCACAGAGCTGTAGGAGGATAAATTTGGTTTGTGTAAACTACAAGTTTCTGGTAATCCATTACAGCAGCAAGTAGAAAACTAGTACAGCCCCAAAGGCGGCCTAATCACCCCTGGGCTACTTCGGTGCCCAGCACATGAGGCAGCTGAGTCACGAGGGTGGGCCCACTGACTCCCTGGCTTCTCTGGGGCTCCAAGAGCATTCGTGGACCATTTCAGTGCCATAAAATAAGGGCTTACTCATCTATGATTGTCTCTATCCCTGAAGATTTGGACTGCGGAGGTTCAGGGCATGAGAATGCCCATGTTTAGCCAGTCTCACTGGAAATCCTGTTAGAGACACCCAGTGAGCCACACTTGGAGAAACATCTATGTGTAGGAAGCTTACAACTTAGGTGCTAAGTACATGTAACTCGAATCAGTAATAGATAAAAATGCAGGCATCCTTCCAAAGACAAGGGTAGAGGCTGAAAATAACCACAACATGTAAAGTCTTTTGTATGCTTTGTCAACAAAAACTAGTTACAGAACTCTTAACAAGTAGATGAGATCTCTGCCCACTCTTTCCTTGTGGCAGGTGCTTCAGGCTCTGAGTAGGTAGAACAGAACCCGGCTGCCTTAGGCCTTTCATGGAAAGCACTCTGCCAGGCATAAACCTCTGCCTGCCCACCTGTTTCCTGATGCGCTGGTGAGGTGCTGGCCCAGGGTGTGTCATCTTCAAAGCGGACCCAGTTGCTGATGGCAGAGGCCAGGTCAGGCGCGGGCTGCTCCGGGCTCCCAGAAGCAGAGGCTGCTTCAGAGATGAGGCCCAGCTTTTCAGAGGAGTCATCTTGCTCGGAGTGGGACAGGTCCCGAGAGCCTCCATCCACCGCCTGGTTCCCCACAGAGGAGCTCTCAGACTGGTCTGAGGAAGACGACAGCCCAGGGAGGTGTTCCTCAGCACCTCCTGAAACAGACAGCAGACACCACCATCACATGAGGAAGTGCATTCATCGATGTCTCTGAGAGGCAAAGGCAGGGCTGACTCCAGCACTTGCCATCATCGTGGGAGGGGAGATGAAACAGCCACGTTGATCCGTCCCTGTGGCCAAGAACTGTCTCCCTCATGAGGTGGGAAACCTATGACTGCAACGTGTCCCCTGTCAGTATCTTGAAGACAAGCTGAGAAAGGAGTTTTCATCATTTAAAAAAAATTTTTAAGAGGCTGGAGAGATGGCACAGTGGTCTAAAGCACCTATTTTGGAACAAGCTTGGAAAAGCACAGGGACTGCGGTTCGATCCCCCATGCACCACATGCCAGACAGCCACTCCCCCTGGTGGGCTGAGCTGGCCACACACACACACACACACACACACACACACACACACTAAATAAAT